GACAACATAGGAACTCATGCAAAAAAAGATTTTGAGGCTTGTGAAACGGTAACTATAGTTTTACTGTACTACGTGTTGTTAGAAGAACAGCATGTAAAAATCGCCAGAACACTAAAAAGTGATAAAATCTGTAGAATTTCGTATCTCCTACTAACTTTGAATATACTTATATTTCTTTTCAGACGAACTCAATGATGTCACACTGGCTGGATGCCATTCTAGGAGAAATCAAGTACTGGCTTTTAAAGGAGGGAGATGCTGTATCTTTTTTGTTTTTCTGCTTATAGAAATTTGCACTGCCATCATTTTCTCGGACTGTTTTTTGTTACTTTTTCATTAGACATTGGGCACTTTGTGCTTATTGATTCTTATATTTAGTCCAGTCTGTGTAAATATGCTGCTACTATACTTCTGTAACTTTGTGGCTTTATTACTCTTGAAAGTAACAATTAGTTCTGTGATTTTCAGGCTTTAATTGTAGTAAACCTCTTTACATGCCGTAGTTGTTCTTGCTGTTAAATGCTCATACAAGTGGTTTGTAAAATGCATACTCAAATAATTTAATATTGATTAAATATTAATATCCTGTAAGTTATTATAAAAGGGTAGTAAGTCTTTATTGACTCATAAATGGGCTTGCATGGCTTTTAGTCAAACTGAGGCTAAACACTGTTGTTTGTATCTTACGTGCTTTACTGCTGCCACTAAAAAAATGATCATGAGATGATACTACCTCTATGATAACGTTAGTGGAGTAGTTCTGTGTATGTTTTGTACAGCAGAGAAGTTTGCACAAACACTGTTACTATTTTTAAAATAATATAAATGGCCTTCCAAAGATCTATTTCACACACTGCCAGGAAAAAGAACCTGCTGGGAGGATATTAGGGGCAGGATTCATCTCACCCAGTTTTAGATATTTACAATGAAGATTTCTAGAGTTTAACTAATCACTCAGGGCTCACACTATCATCATTGGAGAAAAACTGGTGATTCTGAGGCACAGTTAATCTAGCTCTTATTTGGATATCTGCTTTAGGAGACGAAGAATCGCATCCTAGGCTAGCCAGACTGTATTGGTTAGTCCTGCACTGGCAGTAGTGGACGCCTCTGCATCTTCATTGTGACTAGCCAGATTTAGTGAGATGAGTCCAGTAGATGACCAAGCTGGTGAATGCAGCCTTCAAAAGCCTTGGCTCTCCTTTTGCACATGCCCCGGTGGCTGTCAGCCTGACAGGTCTGATGGCCTGCCCTTTCCTGATTAAGTGGAATTGGCTGTGTTTCTAAGTCTGAGAGAGGACTCTGGGGCATGTTTAATGCATACAGGGAAAAGTGACATCTCCTTGAAATGCAGCAGTCAGTTTCATTAAAAATCACGCCAGCAGGAGCAGACTCCTTTATGCAGGAGCTCTAAGAAAGAAGAATTCCCACAGCGTATGGGAGGTGCAGGCAAACGTTCTCCTCTGGGCAAGGTAGCTCACAGCCACGTGTCCTGTTACAGCTCAAGAACCTTTCTCTTAGCACGTGGGCTGAAAGCTGTTCTGGAATGGGAGGACTCCCCTTTTAAAACTGCGTCACTTGGCAGTAAAGTGGGCCAAATGAAACAAAATTTTATCTTAAGATTACACATCTTACCTGGAAGAGGAGAGTCACAGGCTGCTGCCCTGCTAGGAGAACTATTTCGATATTTTATACGTTGTTCAGTGTGCTAGGTCACATGCATTCCTTCTTCCAGGTGGGCAATTTCATTGCTTCTGTGCAAACTGTGCTCCTTACCCTTTCCCTCTGACCAATGTGTGGAAGGTTAGGTTATCATAGGCCTTGCGCTGTCACTGTGCACCACAGAGAATTTTACCAGTAAATCTTTTTTATTGTTTGCCGCGATCTCCCTTCCTGTGGCATGTAATTTGGCACACAAAATAGTGATTATTAGAAATTTGTTCCCAGGAATGAATACAGCATGTTAACTCCATGGTTAATGCCAAGTACAGTGCTGAATAAATCAGCGCACTGCCTCACTGCTGTCTGCTGACTTGCTGACATCTGAGAAAGGTGGTTACATATTCTCAGTGTTCAGTTTGTTCTAAAATCATACATAGCAAATTTGCAGCTCATTGGAAGGTTGATAGCTGTTTAGGGGGCTAAGGAATTACTGTAATATATGCAGGAAGAAAGTGACTTGAGGTGATTTTCTGTCTGTGTAATTCAAAACAGCAACGTTCTTCAGATGAAATTTAATATGTCATCTTTATTGTATATAAGATCTGTTTTGTTAAAAATAGGACAGAGTTATAATAGAACATAATCACCTTGACTGGAGCTTTGTAAAGAAGGGGCTAAGGACTAAATAGTTGATGCTCAAATTGGTGAAAAAGCTAGTAAGTTTCCCCGACATTAAGGGAACCAATTTTTAGGAAGCTATTTGTTGATATCTGACAAGCAGCTTGAAAGGGAAGCCAACCCCTCAGGGTTTCTGTCATGAGCCTTAAAATACATTTGCATATTTTCTGCATAGAAACAGGATCTCACGCTCTGTTGCCAAACTGCAGAACTAAAAGGATGCGAAAACTCTTATCTAGTCCAAAGGGCTCTAAGGGGTAACTCCATAATCAGAATTCAAATGGGGCAACAGATTAGGAAAATTACTTCAAGCAGGATTTCAGCCATATCTGAGAGAGACTCACAAATCCTGCACAGTTTGGTAGGCAAAATATTGCCTATACTGTCATTAAAAAGCTAACATTCTTCTCCAGGCATTTCCTACTTAAAAAAATTAATTTCAATTGATCACACAGATTAATGTTGCTTAAGGTGCTAGTGCTTAGATTTATTAATATCAAATGCAAGTTTTCTGACAGTTTTGATTTCTCTTTCTCAAATTGAAAACAATGGCTAAAATATTTATTGTCGTCAGGATCAGAGTGATAGAGGAATAAAAAGTTACGGTCATCTGCATATGCCTAGCGCACTCAGTGGTCCAGTTTGTTAGACAATGTGATGCTCCTGCTAGCTATACTATTTACTATGAGTTGTTGTAAATGAGCCAGCAGTCCCCGGGCCTTGAAGGACCTGAAGGGTGCCTTGCCAGAGCTGGCTGCTCTGCCAAAGTACAGCTGCCAAACCTGTGACAGCTCTGAAATTCTTACTGGTGAACTTAAGCTGGGTATTTTAAGTGAGGAGAATTAACATCTGTGATGTGGTCTACACGCAGAAACATCTGCACTGATCCTTCTGGCATCCCTCACACTGCCCCTATGCCTCTAATTTTCACTGAATGTTTTCCTCTTTGTTTCTACGTTTTGTTCTTTTCTTTCGTTAAAGGAAAATGCTTGCCAAGACAACAAAGCATTTAGGGCCAGAGTTGCGTTTCACATGCAGGTGACATTTTGTTGGCAGTATCCTCCATATCATGGACTAATTATGCTTTTTCCATTTTGAGGGGAGGAAAGCTTACGACTGCAAAGGAATTTATGATGGGTAGAAGTGTCATATCATTTTTAGCATGTAGATTTACTCTCAATCCACACAGACAATAAACTGGATGGAGTTCTTGTTAGTATTAATGGAGAGTTGCCATTTAAATTTCCCATGCATTGAGCAAACAGTAGACTTCTGTTGCACATACATGCCTTGCCATTGATCTGATTGATTCTGAGCTGCCGTGGTGGATGTGGTCACTGATGTGTGAATTAGTAATACAGGAAGGGCATGATTAACTCTTTCCATGAAGGTCTGTATTAGTCAGGACCATCTTTGAAGGAAAGTTCTAATGAGAAAATCTGTTCTGATACACTTAGATGGCAACCCATAATAACTGTTATATTACAGGCTGAATAAATTATATGTGATTTCAATTTTGGATTTATGCAACACTGGTAGGGTTTAAACACTATAGGAAGGGTTGGTATTGTATGTTCTTTAGAGATCTGGCCCTATTTCTGTACGGTGTGACTTTGTATCTCCTTAGCATTTATTTTAAGGGCTTACTTAAACGGCAGCATCGGTTGACAAAGATTCAAAACACGAAGTGTGTGCATGGCTTCTTATCACTTCCCTGTGGAGAGCTGTGTTTAAGACTAAATGGGGATGGTGGTGGTGGGGTCTTTGAGTAGCTAAGAAGAAATCCTTGTGCCATGTTTGCTTATTTGAGTGGGCTTACCACATATCAGGAGTATGAGGCACATCTACTTCTTGGAAAGATGATCTGAACCCAAGGCTACTGCCTGTTGGTGGAGCTAGGCTACACTTTCCTGTTCAAAGTGTGCCACTTGGCTGGAGAAAGGTCGAGATTTGTTAGATTACTGGTTTTGTACTTTTATGCCTGCAGGCTTTTTGGTTCAGTGGCCCAGGAGGGTGGAGGAGACTCCCACAGAGAGTAGCTCATAGCTTGTTGAGCGTGCTCCTGTGAGGAGTGAATATGTGAATGAGGACGCTGAAGCAGAGCTGGCAGGTTGTGTGTGGCTGTATAGTGGAATGTGACAGGACAGTTCCGGGCATGTGCAGAAGCAAAAGCTGTGAGGTTTCTGGTTTTGCCCATAAAATTCCTAGTCGTCTAATAGATTAGGGGCTGTTTTGGGGAATCTCATTCTTGTACTTAAAATGTAAACCCGTCTGTGGATCTGGGCCTTACGGTCTGGCAGAGTGTTGCTGAAGCCAGTGGAAGACAAAAGGCGTTAGCTTCAGTTCATAATAGCTTTAAAGCATTATTTTGAACAGCAGAGAAATATGAGTTTGAGAGGTGATTTTCTAATAAATGTAATTTGGAAACATATTCCATGTTTTGAGATGTTCTGGGATAATTTCTTAAAATAAAACTTGCCCAACAAATATCCTGCTTTCTACAATGTCAGTGTAGTCCAAGGGCCAGCATTTATATGAGCATATATTTACAGCAATTTTAGAAGCACTCTTTTGGGTATAATTAAATACATTTTTCAGTAAATAGGGAAAACGTTTAAATCTGTTTTCACCTTGATTTCCCTCATTTTGTTTGCAGCAGAGTCAAAATGTCAGACAAAAGTGACTTAAAAGCAGAACTTGAGCGCAAAAAGCAGCGTTTGGCCCAGATAAGAGAAGAGAAGAAGCGAAAGGAAGAAGAGAGGAAGAAGAAAGAGGTAAATATGCAAAAGCTCTTTGAAATAGTTCATGCTTGCAGAGGGGCCTTGCTGAGGTTTTGACATCTCGGTATAGTGTAGTCCAAGGTACCTGTCATGTGGAACAAGAGCCTTAAACCCACCTCAGCCGAACCTTAAAATCAAAATGCTTATTTTTAGTCAAGGAAGTTGGGGTGAGGGAATTGCTTTTAAATCCAATGTGCTGTCAACTGACAAGAATTTAGACAACATGATGGGCATGTGCGTGTGGAAAGAAAAATTGATTTGCCACAATGCTTTTTCCTGGGCTTTTCTTCAATGGAAAGGGAGTGGAGAGTGGGGAAGACACAAAGAGGGCTCACATTTTTTTCAAGCCATTACAATCTAAATACGTATTTTTGTACTCTTAAGACTAGCTTGATTACTGGCTAAGGTAACAGATTTACAATTATTATTCTCCAGTAAAGTAAAACATAATTGCAATTGCATTTTCATCTCCTGGCATGGGTGCATCTTTCAGTTCTGTTAAAGTTTGATTGACATATTAGTTTATTTGTCCTTGGCAATATGCACTAGGTTTTTCATTAAGGGATTTATACTTCTTTTTATTCAGTCACTTAGTGAAATAGAGGTGAGAATTGACAAGGAATGGATATTCATTTTCATGTAAAGTCAGAGAAGCATTAAGTGATTATGTTTCTTTTCCTTCAAATGTCAACACTTATCGTAGTTTAAAGCACCTGTTATCCTTTACTAATAACTGGTTTCCTTTTAAACTGACACTTTAATATTGTACATGAATTTCATAGAATTATTGTGGAAATGTGATGTGATCCAAGAAATCAGTGTTCCAATTGTGGTTGTCTTTCTAATCTTTTTTTTTTATTTGAGGCATTTTTGTGCAATTGCTAACAAATACCCCAATGAGGCTCCCAGAGCCTCTAGGTGAGTCCTCTATAAGTGGGACTTGAACATTTTTAGTAGTCATTACTAGCACATTAATGCATTAGAGAGCAAGGAGCCAAGCCAATGGCTCCAGGAAGCTATTAAGTCCTTGCCTTTGTCCCCTGCCTCTGATGATATGCCTCGTGGAGATCGTGTGGTGGCTGGAACTTTCCGCTGACCCTGATAGCCAGATCCAGTTAAGGACATGCAGCTTACAAATTAGGCTGCAGTGCCTAACTGTGGTGTGCTGTGATGCCTAACTTGGAGTGCCTGGCCTCCAAGTATGAAGTCTAATATTGAGTTAGATGCTTAGCCTTAGCCAGTGTCATAGAGGAGTTATCTAAAACCCTTCTTACTGTGAGATACTTCAGGCAACTCCATAGGAAGAACTGAGCAAAGGGATATACCTGAATTTCGCCTTTGTCTGTAAAAGAAGTAAAGAAAACTGTTTTTCCCATCTTGCCTATGTCTAAACTGGAGAACTTGGGGATGCTTCTGAACTCTAAGGTTTTTCTGTGTGCACAAAACAATATCAACAATTGTCTAAAATACTGTGCAAGTCCCCTGTGCCCTATGCTCTGGTTTTGTGGTGAAAGCTAAATAGGACTAGCCAATTTAGAAGCAACTTTTTTATGATCCAGAATATCGAGATAGGTATTGCCAGACATTGTCTACCAGAACTATGCAGGGTTTGCTGTATTTAAGACATGACAAGATGATAGGCATGACCACTTGCGTTTTGTTTTGTAGCTTACTGGTTACTGCACTGGACTAGAACGCAGAAAATGGGTTCAGTTCCCTTATCTGCCTGGGCTAAAGGCTGCAGGACTGTTTCTTTAAGTGGAAAGAGTACTCTAACCACTAGGCTGGGGTACAGGCATTTTCTATCCACCCTACTAAATTGGGGAATGATGTACCAAATACAAGGGATTCTGGCTAATGCAAATGTTGCTCCTCCTGGATCCCAGTAGGTCAGAGAGAGAAGCTAATGTGTGGGAGCTCCAAGTAAATGTAGGTGTCTGAGCTAAGCAGCAGGGGTCTTGTGGACCTTGTCACCTTGTGTTTTGACTGTTGGTGCCCAGACCTGCCCAAATCCTATTTCAGACATTTTAGTTCCTTTCTTTGCTCCTGCTAGATGTTGAAGTGTGAGAAAATATTTTTTCCTTCCAACAAGTACTTGGGACCTAGCAGAGGCCTTTAACTTCGTCACTGAAGTTGACTGGAATGTTATTTCTTGATCCCAGAGAGGGTAGGAATGGGGCCATTTGTAGGCAGAGTAATGATTTTTGTTAGGGTCATTTGCTACTGAAATGATTTTTGTTAGGGTCATTTCTTACTGAAATGTCTTACGTTTCTTAGCTGAATCAGTTGACTTATTGGCATTTGCAGTATATTAAATGGTGTTATGTGGAATCAGCAAAACTCTTTGACTTCCCATTTTTCTACAAAATAGCTGCATCTGAAAAGTAAGAGACAAAACACGTCCATCGGTGTGCTGTAAAAATCCTTGCAAAGGTCCTTGCAAATATCAGTTTTCCCATGCATACAGGGGAAAATATTACTAATAAATACAGTATAAATGAGCTGCCTAAGCATAGTGGTGGATTAAGTGTATTTCATAGCATTCCTAGACGATGATTCCTATAAATATTCTCCACTTGCTTAATTGCAAGAGCCTGAGTATATGTGAATGAAACTGTATTTTTTGGATTTTTTTTGTTTAATTCAGGCTGATCTACAGCAGAAGAAGGAGCCAGCTCAGGAAGATTCTGACTTAGACCGCAAAAGAAGAGAGACAGAAGCTTTGTTACAGAGCATTGGTATATCCCCAGAACCACCTCTAGGTATTTAAGAGAAGCATACTGTAAAACATTCAGCTCTGCCACAATGAATGCATTCTATTAAAGCATGCTTTGCTTTTTTGATTTTTGGCTGTATTAGTGAAGTGAACTCTTCTGTTTGAATGCCTACCATACCATTCATGTACACCAGTTCATGGCATTTTGAGTATTTATCATTGCCAAATACCTCTCTGCTATTTCTTGAAGAATTTTTTGTGAAGATAATGCAGGTTACCTTTGCATACCAGTAGCGATTTCTTTTCTCTCTCACAACTATCTGACAACTCACAAAATAATATTATAAATGCTGTACTTCATTAGCCCCAAGTTTTGTTTCTTCAGTACAGATTAAATATTTGCATAAAGGAAGGAGGAGCATAGTCATGTGGGAGCTCCTATTGAATTCTTTAAAAAAATCAAGGAAAACTCCGAGGAGGGTGAGGGGAAATAAAAAGACAAATCACAAATATCAAAAGACTTATCAGCAGATCGTTGTTATAGATTTTAGATGTGGTTTCACCTGCTTTACTGCTTTTTTGATTTTGTCATTTTAGTTCTAGAATCTAAAGTCCTCAGTTTAAAAATACATTTGGCAAAATTTATAATATCTGAATATTGGTTACCTTGATGTAAATAGGTTTTACATTTACAATGTTTTAAGTTATCTGACCTATTAGTTGGCCCTAAAGTGAGAATTTTTTTTCTTTCTCGTGTGCTTTCCTCTCCCTTTAATCCAGAAACCTCCTCAGTGGTCTAGCTGAAATCTTGGCCCTACTGGAGATACCACACCATGTCATTAAATTCATTGGGGTTGGGTTTTACTCAGAAATACTCTTGCCTGTAATATTTAGGAAAACCACAAAATTCAACACAATTTTGAAGCCTTGATTTAGGATTTAGGAAGGCAAACTGATGCTTGGGTTTATGCACAAATAGATGTTGACATTCTGAACTGGGATTTCAATTCCTGACTTCCAGCAATCAATATTTATTGAAATATGTTGCTATTTTAATAAGTTACAATGTGTTGACTGAACTTTTTAAATACCAGTTCTTTGAAGAATTGTCTGACAAGTTAGATTATTTTTGTATTTCATAACATGTCTTGTAAATTATACATTCTGATATTATAAAACCGGACTAATTTTTAATATTTTAGCATTTAAAACATTCATGTGTATCTAAAAATGGGATTATATTTCCTTATCATGTGATAAACTGAACACATATGTATTCATGTTGCAAATTATCAGTTCGTATCTTGAATAAATCGTTTCATGTTTGATACTATCAAAAGAATGTGAAAATTCACATATAAGATGATTCGTTGTAGTGAAACAATAATATTTCATCCTCTTTCTTTCCCTGTGTATACACTGGCAATTAGTATACAAAAGAGGCTTTAATTCTCCTTTCACATATGCATATAATACTCAGATCCCACAGTGAATATAGAATACATAAACAGCTATGACATACCTATAACCTGCCAAAGGACTGTCTTGAAGATGAATTCCCTTTTAATGCTGCATTCATTTCTGTGACAATCTCTAGTGAAAATCTGCATGAAGTGTTTGACCACATGGAAAATCTAAGTCGCTTGACAGATCTGTCATTATGCATTATAGAGTATAACAAAATAGTTAAAAGTTTTTCTCTGTTAAATCCGTAAGAGGAAGTGCACATGATTTAAACCAAATGGAGAACTTCACTGTTGCAATAAAACCCCTTTTTGTGTTTTATTCAATGTGGCTGCTTTGAAGAGCACTTGCATTAAAATTTGACTGGAGTCATCTCTGCATTTTAAATATTTCTGAGAAACCATTTGAAAAGAAATTGGGATATTTTTACATTTTTATTTATTATTCCCTTGCTGAAAAGCTTTAACTTGGGCTGACCTGGAGCTATGAACTTCCTTTCCTGTTCAAGGAAACAAAACTGTCTTTGCATGATATATGCTTCAATAGCCCCTGCAAGCCAAAGAAAAAATCATTTCTAGAACCTGGACAAATAGTGTCTAAACCAAGGGAAACATTTCCTTGAGTTTTGAAATCATGTCCCTCAAGAAACCAAAATGTTATACAACCTAAATTACTTAAGAAAACATGATCACTAAGCAAGCTAAAGTATATTCTCACCATTTTGGGAAATGATTTTAGCTAAGCTGGATTTCCTTATTTAGCTTTTATTTTTGATGTCATTTCCACACTGCAGTCTTAGAACATATCCAATAGACGTTGGCTTTTAATTTAAATTCAAAACTTGAAAAGTATGCTTGTTCTATTGCCTATTTAACTTTACCAGAAGAGTTCACTTAGTTTTCTAACCAAACAACCCCTGATATTTCTTTATGACTTAAAGATATACACAAGAAATCAAGTGTTATTTTACTTCCACAGATATCTCCTCCATTGATTAGCTGTAAAATCACGTTGGGCTTTCAGTCCTGTCTAAATTCATGTCAGTTTTAACACTTCCAAAAGACTTAAAATTCACTTGACTCTCTTCCTTTTCTTTTTCTTTCCTTTCCTTGTTTGCTTTCACCATTTCAAACTCTCCTAATCATTCATCCACTATCATTTTGGTCCATTGGTTTTGATTTGTCTGACACTGCTCTTCATCAGTGCAGTCGCTGCATGTGTTAACATGGGATACCTGTTATTTTCATTATTTAGTCCCAACCCCTATGTCTCCCTCTTCGAAATCAGTGAGCACACCCAGTGATGCAGGCAGCCAGGACTCTGGAGATCTGGGACCCATGGGAAGGTAAGACATAGAGTTAATAGTGTTGAGTAAATGTTTTTTTTCACTTTGTTCTCCCTTCCCCCATTCTTACTTTTGCTTCCATAAATAAGAACATGCTGAATATAATGTGTATTTTTGTTTCTGCATACTCCACTGTATGTTACCATTCGGTTAAGCTGCTCTCAGATGCGAGGTAAATAGATGCGTGCAGCAAGCTGATGTTAAGATATTAGCCACAAAAACTTTAACAGGCAGCAGCAACTGATTTTATGCTTTTAAAGAGGCCCAGGGAAATCTGTCATTCTGTGTGAACGTACACTACAGGGAAGTGCCCAGTCATGTACCTTGTTACTCATGAGGGTAATCTTTGTTCATGTAACCTACCTCCTTTGAAGTTATATTGGCTGCATCACTCCATGTGTAACATCAGGCTATCTCTGATCTTGTATTGCTGCCTGTTGCAGTTTGTGGCACTGCAAGTAAGTTGGAAAGAGCTTCTGTAGAAAAAGGCTGAAACGCCCATGACCAACAGGCAGTTCTCTCTTGGAAACTGTGGGTATCAGAGTTTTGTGCAGAATGGGAGGGAAGCCGCTCTCTCCTTGTTAAAAAGGGTGTCGTTGTGTGTATAAGGGATGGGCAAAAGTGCAACCTTCTTAACTTTGTTCACGTGGCTGAAATTAGGAGTGAAAGTCCCTGAGGAATTTGTAGCCTGGAGTACAATATGAAAGAAGACGCTGCTGGTAAAGGACAATATGTCCAAGTAAGAAGAGTTCAAAGCGACTGTATCGTTTGGGAAACGTAACACAGGTCCTAATAGCTCCTCTGTGTCAAACTCGTTCAACATGAAGCTGAACTGCCAGCCACAGCCAAATTTATGAGCCAAGACTCTGCGAATGCTTTGAAAACATAGGGACTACTCTCTGCAGTTAACAGAAATAGGTTAGGAATAGGTGCCCTACCTTGTCTTGCATAAACAGTAATGTTGCAGAGCTTCAGTGAGCCAGGTTTTATACTACAAATTGCGTTTATGCTTTTCCCAGCTTATACTGGGTTTACAGTAATATCATTAGTGATAGCTTATGAAGTAAGAGATATTTCTACTAACTGGCTTGCTCTCCTCTTACACTAGCCCTCTTCTTAGAAAGTTCACGCTTCCATAAGCTGAAAGTATAGTGTGTCCCCTTTTAGTCAGATGCAGACACCTTGTGTTACCGTGGTGGTGTGGAGGGGTTACACAGCTGCTACTGAAATCTGCTCAGCCCTTCATCTGTATCCACACTCTAGAAGGAATGGAGTTTGTTTAAGCGGAAAGCCTATAAGATAATGACAGTTCAAAACGTGGAAAATAATGTAATGCTGCATTCATAAATAAATGAATAACCTCAGCAAGTCATCATCCTTTGGGAAAAGCAAAAATGATCATTATTTTTAAGCAAAGCGTAGGCTGCTGTTCCACATAAAGTTATTTCTCACTGTCCTACATGTATGTGTGACAATACTGATTGGAAACAAGTAAATTCCTAGTTATCTTCTACTCCTTAATGGGGTAACTTTTTTGACATTAAGCTAATGAAATGTCTTCAGAGGGATTTATGGTAGGGCATTTGGCCTACAGTAGCACTTCAAACCTCTGTCAACCACAAGCAACAGAAGCACAAAGACCTTATATTATTACAGAGGAGGGCTGGATTTGTCCTGTTCTTCAAAGCTCACAACATGCTGCGTGTGGGCTGTCATTCTGGATCCATTTTGGGGAGTGTTGTGGCCATAGTAGGAACTGAATCCTAATCCCAAAACCTAATTTGTAGTCTACCAGTTTGCTTGCCATCCTCTCTGGTATTCAGAGTGCTGTGTTCTGTGCCAGCATGGGCAAGTGTCCTTGCCTGGAATGATCGGTCTGTGAAAATGGAAATTCTGTAATGTTTGGTCCAGGCCCTGCTAAATCTCTGTCACCTGTTGATAATAGTAGGTGACAGTTATTTTGTCATTGGGTGCAGGTAGATGAGCTCAGTGTGTGTTTGTGCGGATGAGTACACTCAAACATACGTGTAAAACAGAGCAGTCAAAATGGACAGTAAAGTGTTGGTAGACCTGTCATCATAGAGGGTAAAAAGGATGAAATCACCTCAGCAGTTTCTTTCGGAGAAATACTATGAAAGGCCCACTTTGACTTACTATTTTGACTACGGCATATATGAATGCCTGTGTATCTATATTAGCAAGTTTACTCTTCTTCCTTTTAATGTATCGTTCCATTTTGCCCTCTGTGATGGAGAGGGCACACGTCATATCTGTCCTGTCATCTTGCTTGTAAGATGTTCCCCTTCCCCCGATTCTGCTGCAAACTTGCTGCACAACAGTAGACGGAGCATAGACGTTAGGGGGGAGCAGCTTAATCCCAAAGCTGCTAATAGCCTAGTCTCAGAGAGATGATCATCATGGCTTGTCTGTTGTTGCTGCTAACACTGCTGCAGAAATAACTAGCTCACACAGACTGGCAGAGGTCCTGAAGACAGTCTGATTACTCATTGCTGAAATGATCTCCAAAGACTTGGATATTATAAAAGAGCTGTGAAGTCACAGATTTTGGTTCAATAGAGGAGATAATGCCTGTCGTAGGGGTCCTGCTTTGAAGAAAGCAAGAGAACTTCAGATATTTCCCATTTGGGGTTGCAATTTCAAGTGCAGACCCAGCTTCTATTCATACTGCTATGAGCTGTTGGCTCCTGGTAGTTGTCAGACTTAATATCTCAGTCCTGATATCACCAAGTACATCTGAGGTACGTTTTGGTTGGCAAGCACCTATGATTTCTTTTAGAACACTGACCATAGGTTAGCCTGGTCTAGAAATGCCAGTATTTCTGACATCCACTTTTCAGGAAGGATCTTGATAAATTGGAGATAGTTCAGATAGTGTTGAGTAGTTGTTATCCTGGAACCACAGACCTCATTCTAGCTTACTTAATGAGATAAAAGCTAACTGGTGACTTGTTCAGTATATGTAACAGCTGTATGGGGAGTGAAAGGGCTCCAGCATGCAATGTCTAACAACAGCAAATTGCTTGGCATTAAAACTAGACAAATACAAAACCAGAAAAAGTGTGTAAAATTTTAATGGTGAAATAAATTAATCACTGAAGCAATTTACTTAAGACTCTATTTGATTTTCTATCGCTGGACATTTCTCTTTCAGGATAATGTGCCTGACCAACAGGCAGATAATAGCTCAAACAATAATTCATTCAGAAAAGTCATACAGCCTTTTCTTGCACAGGAAGAAAAGCTACATGGACGCAGTGATCCCTTCTGGCATATGATCTATGCACTAGTAGTGCTGCTATCCTGCAGCACCATTGTCCATTATCCTTACCATAATAGCTAGAGAAACGTTGCCTTTCCCCTGATGCCATTAAGCTTATTAGGAGAAGGTGTGGGGTGGGCTGTGTAATAGCACTAAATTATGGAACCATTTCCGTCTTGTGCAGTCTAGGTTTTTATGGGTTTTACTGCTTGACCTTTGGTACCACATTGCTATTTGTCGTTGTCTTTTCAATAGGAATGACACTAGATTTCAGAAGTGTTCTAACATCCCTTGTGACAGGACAGTGTGATGGCAACAGTAAGAATGAGTAGATGTGAGATAAATAATGGTGCTAGAAACTACCAACAGTTTTCTTTGAGTGCTTTCAGCTGGAGAAGACAGCCAACTTTTTTTTCTTGGTGATCTTGGAAACTAATTCTAGGTAGGCAGAGATGCATTATACTTTCATTCTGGAAGATTTTACCATAACATTTTGCTGAACAAGTGGTAGATTTGACATGTGCTGTTCTTAGATATCAGGCTACTCTGAACTGCTGAACATGCTGCTTCATTAGAGCCCTGTTGTTGCACAGAGAGCACCTTGCCTCTTTTCACATTGCTCTGCGTACCCCATTTTACTTTTCTGCTGGTTAAGTTGCTTGTACTCCACCGATAGGACAGGAAAATTGCATGCATAACTAATTGGACAGAGTATTGATCCGCAGGGCTTTCTATTATGATATATTCTTTCCACAAGACAGTATTGGAGCATCCCATGCAGATTCTCCTTGGAACAGAGTATCCTCTGCTTGGCTCTTTCAGGATAATGATTTTGTCCATGGACACTGATGACCTATTTCCTATTCTGATGATCAGCTCATACAGCCATGCACACCTGAAATGTAGATTTCCGCTAACTAGGTTTAAGTAAATGTCATGAAGAAAGGGGCTGAATTAAAGGCTTTTGCTGAGAGCATGCTGTGGCATGCTTTTTGCTGTGGCATGCTGTGAAGGTCGAATTTGCCTCCTCTAGGGTATCAGCGTTGAGCATCTTCATGATAACTATATACATGTTAGCCCTCTTCCACAGCAGATACTCCGAGCTTCCACCCCCTTTTTAAGGGGTGCCGGAGAGGATGCTAGCCGTCATAGTAAAACTGTGATAAAATCATGCCCATGAAGAGGCATGTTTTACTACGCAACATGCGTTAGACCTTTATGAATCTCATCTCGGCACTCGCAGCCATGAGTGTCATGTTTGTGCCATCTGGGGAAATGTGCAGGGATAAGCCTTATGCAGTGCTTCAGTGCCAGGCAGTGCAGTATCAGGGCTTCTGGGCTGAACCAGCTAAGCATCCTGCTCTGGAAAAGTGCCAGTACCCTGTGACAGGTAGAAGCAGAGCACTGGGATCAGGCTTCTCAGTGCATGCCAGCTTGATACAGAGTAGCAGAAATTTACCTCTACTGGAAGGACATGCCCTTGTGGCTGAGTAGCCTTTATGCACTAATATTAACCTCCATTTGTTTGGACTCGGGTATTATCTGCAGGGTGTCTGTGTGTTCACCCTGCATATTGCATGCATGGAGGACTTCCGTTTGTGGAGCATGGTGTGATTGATCTGTGTGGTCCATTATTTCCTTTAACCTTCGCTGCTCCTGTATGTTCCCAGGTAGCTTCGTTCATCCTACTTATTGCTGAACTGCCTGGGTTTTGTGTGTG